GTTATCTGCTGAGCTCTTTTCCTTCAATCATGGATCACGGAAATGTTTGGGAACAATTTGAGCTTTGCACACACTTGAACATGAGTCACAAATAAAAAGCCCATCTTTTAAAACGTTGATGAAACCTTAGAAGAATCCTAAGTTGGAAAGAGCCTGTAGGTCATTAAGTACTGACTTCTCATCCATTTGGGGATCCTTCCTAGAATTCAGTAACAGAGGTTCACAATATACATTTGTGTGTTTGTGTGTTTTTAAAGGTTTATGCAATATGTATGTGCGTTTTGTGAGCATGTATATCTGTGTTCCACATGCATGCCTGGTTCCCTCAGAGGTCAGGAATTCCTGAAATTATGGATGATTGTGAGCTGGGAATTGAACTCAGGTCCTCTGCAAGAACAGCAAGTGCTCTTAACCACTGAGCCATCTCTTCAGCCCCCTCACATTATACTTCTAAGGAAAGCATTCCGTGCCCATTGCCAGAGACTCACTGCACATGGCTTTTATGTGTATGCTGCAGAGCTTGTGTTTGCACAGCAAGCCATTTCTTCACTGAGCCATCTCCTCATACTCTATCTACCCCCAACACTTTTCTCACTCTGAGGAAATATGGTACTTGAAGTCTTAGCCAGAGCAATAAGATAAGAATGGAAAATAAACGAGATACAGACAGGATGAGAAATCAGTTTCCTTACTTGTAGACTCTGAGAACTCCACAGGAAAACTCAAGAGTTGATAGTCGCTTCCATCAAAATAACAGGATGCAAAATTCACATGCAAAAGGTAGCCTTCCTATATACCAGTAACAAATGTCCCGAGAAAGTAAACAGCCACGTTCACAATTACCTCAAGAAATACCTTGGAACAAACCTAACCGAGGAAGTGAAAGAGCTCTACGATGAAAACGTTAAAACACTAAAGAAAGATGGGAAAACCTCCCGTGCTCATGGATTGGAAAGTTTAATGTTGTGAATATGACTACGCTGCCAGAAGCAAGCTACAAATTCAGTTCAATCCCTGTCAGAATTCCGATGTTTTTCATGGAAGTAGAAGAAAAATCCTCAACTCATATGGAAGCACAAAAGACCCCAGGTAGACAAGGCAGTCCTGAAGAAAAAGAACAATGGCAAGTTGAATCACAGCGTATCCCAGGGATGCAGAGCTGAAGCAGCCAGCAAAACAGCAAGGGACTGGTCTAGAGAGCCACCCCGGTCAGTCCCGCAGAGCAGAGGGTCTGGATGGAAACGCACGCAGTTACCGCTGCCTGGGATTCCACAAGATTTTAAGTATACACAACGGAGAAAAGAGTCTTCTCAGCAAATGATGGTGCAAAACCTGATGTCCACGTGTAGAAGGATGAAGCTAGAGCCTTATTTCTTGCTGTACACAAAGACCAACTCCAATGGACCCGAGACCCTAGCATAAGCCCCCCAAACAAAACTCTGAACCAGTAGGGAAACCATTCCCAGGTGTTGGCATTGGAGCTGGATTGGTGCTTGGTGTTTGGCTGCTCACAGCTGCCTGTATGGTTCCAGCTCTGGGTCTAACACCTCTTGGGCCCCCTCAGGTACCTGCACACAGGTGTGCCTGCACACACATGTAAATTTAAAAAGAAATCTTTGGAAATTACACTGACACTGGCAAGAACTTTCTGAATAGGAATCCTAAAGCAGTTAACAAATGTGATTTCATGAAATGAAAAACAAACAAACAAAAAAATCCATCTGCACAGCAAAGGAAACAACGGAGTGAAAGCACGGCAAGATGGAAGAAAATCTTTGCCATCTGACAGAATTAATAGCTAGAATGTACAAAGAAGTAGTAAATACAAAATGAACCAAATAATAAATGGGCTAATGAACAGAAAGTTGCCAGAAGAGGAAATACAAATGGCCAATAAACACAAAAAGTTGTTTAGCTGGCCATCAGAGAAATGCAAATGAAAACTACATTGAGACCCTGTCTCACCCCAGTCAGAAGAGCAGTCATTAAGCAGCAACCCACAGTGGTGTGGATGTGAACAAAAGAGAAGCCATGTGTGCTACTGAAGGGATGTGAGCTAGTCAAGCCGCTGTGGAAGTCAGTGTGGAGCTTCCTCAAAAGACAAAAAGAAAAAGAAAAAAAAAATAGAGCCACCGAATGACCCAACTCTATACTGCTCCCGGATGTTCCCTTAAAAGACTCCAGTCAGCACAGGAGAGAGACGATGACACATCAGTGTTTGTTACAGCACTGTTCTCCATAGCTAAGCTGTGGTACCTAAGTATCTGTCAGCATAGGCATGGATAAAGGAGATGCAATGTCTACACAAAATGACTTGTCTTCAGCCACGAAGAATGACATCATTTGATGGAAACGAATGATGGAGATCATTGCAGTTAAGCAAATGAAGTCATCCTTGGAATGGCAGATTCCAATGTTTCCTCTCCCTTGTGGGTACTAGGCATTATAGGTACATAAAGTCATGTATGGATAGATGTCTAGGGAAATTCAGAGGACTCCAGAGAGCAGCGAGTGCCAGAAAGGGGAGGTTGGTGAGATGCGGGGGGTAGTGTTCTGTTCAAAGTACATTATACAGTTTCGGGTACATACTTGCCTTGTATAACCAACTTTAAAAAACAAAAGGAGTTTTGCTGAGAAGATGTCTTAGTCTTTAGAATGCTTGGTGTATCTGCACGAGGACCTGACTCCCATTCTCAGCATCCATATAAAAAGCTGGTTGGGATGGCTCATGCATGTAATCCAGGACTGAAGAGTCAGACAGACAGACCCCGGCGGCTTTGCGCCCAGGCAAGCTAGGCTTATTAGAGAGCCCTGAGCTCCAGTGAGGAAGTCTGGCTCGAAGAGATAAATAAAATTCAAAAGTAAACCAGGAGGGCGGTGCCTGAAGAATAATGCCCAGGGTGGCACTGCACTCCACAGTGTGTGCGTGCGTTTGTCACACACTATAAACACTTAATGAGTGTAAAGCCGCTGAAAAGGAATGGTAACAATCCCAGGTAATCATCTGTTACTCCCATCTGATCATCACGCACTATAGCCACCTATGGAAATGCTGGATTGTGACCCCAGAGTAACACGTGCAATTGCTACGTGTCAACTTACAAATTAAAAACAGAACTGTAAGGGAAAAACAACATGCTTCTGTCTCCCTTGCACGACTGCTACTCTGTCTTTCATTCCAAGCAAATCGGGTCTCCTTCTCCCACAATGAGCTTTCCAAAGTGCATCATGCGCTCTCAAAGCCTGCTTGGCCACTGACTGGGCATGAAGACGGCAGGCGCAGTGGCTGGCTGGCGCCCTTCCAGCAGTGGGTCCTCTGCTCCACCGCCTGCACTCTGTCTGATGTCTCTAGCGGCAGTTTCTTGTCAGCATCATTGGTGTAAGTGCGGGTCTGTTTTGGCGTTTCTGTGTTTTCTCTCCGGGTTTTCCCTCCTGGGGTGCATTGCCCACATTCTGTGCTTATGTACAACACTAGCCCTAGCCACGCGTCCGTGCATTTGCCTGAGGGGTGAAGCTGCCATGCCACATTGTGGTGCACACACCCACATCCCCCAGCTTTGAAACTGCCCAGTTCCCTTTGTGACTTTATTTAAGCCCTCCACCATTTCCACTAAGCGAAAGGTTTACAGTCTTGTAGGGTAGCTTCTCTGCAAATACATTTTGTTGTCCTCAAGTTGACACTCCTAAAAAGAAACAGCCCCCCAAACCCTGAAATGCTGTTCCCAAAATGTTTCAGCTATTTTCAAGTGGATTGAAAGTTAAACCTCCTACACTCGGGATTGACAGGCACTGCCTGGGAAGCGCGGGCAGGCAAATGCACGGCCCGCTCTATCAGAAAGTGCTGAGCCAAACATCTGCTCCCATTTTAAATAACCCATGACCTCAGCTCGTCACCACACTGCTCCAACTCACATTTTCCTCATCCAAAATCAGATGCATCAGCCCTTTTCCAGGGTGGTGGCTGTGCTGTGTGGACAGATATCAATACCTGTTTTGGGTTGTATAACAGACAATACTGCAATTGTCTATGAGTATTTTGATTGAGAGTTCAAAAAAGGTGTCTTAGGAAAATAAAACATTGGCGATTCTGGGTATTTCAGACTCTGGGCTCCAAAAACACTGTCAACGGGTCTCCATATACTGAACCTGAGCGTGTACATTACATTTTAGAGAAATAGTATCGTAATTTGTGGTGTTCTCACACTTCAGGAAGGAGTTCTTTTATAATGGTATGGTTTGTGGAGAAGTACCATTAGTTTGGATTCCTGTGTAGTCTTGGGGTAGAAGAATAAAGGAATTGAAAGTAAGGGAGTGAGTTTCGTTGTGTTTTAATCTCCACCTTGAGCACACGAGAACAGGGCACATAAGTGGACCTTTGCGACCTGACCCTGACGAGGCCGCCCATGAGGCTCAAGGGTGGATTCTGAGGATCCCTTTTCCTTGGCTAGCCTGGGGCATTAATAGCCACACCTGCAAAGTTCATTTTCAAGCTCCTAGCTTCTCCCACCCCCATATTTCTGGAGACGTGCCACGTGGGTTTCCAAGTGGCCCTGAGGGACTAAAATGGTTGCACTTTCTGCGCTAGTCAGGCAGTTTGTTACACCCACCCTTTACCCAAAACCCTCTGCGTTCGGGGGCACTGAAGCAAAGGTGCTGCCTACGTTTTCAGCATCCATAGTCTGGGGACTGTGCTTTAATGATTGTTTAGTCCTTTATTGTTTACCAGAAATAGAAACAGAGTTGATCTTGCAAAGGCATCGGTTTCTGTCCCTCCCTTTCCTTTGATTGCCCCTCCTTACCTTTCTTTCTCTCCCTTCCTGTCCCATTCCTTCCTCCCCTGGCATTCCCCTTCCTTGCCCCCTGTGCTGCCTCTCCCAGCCCAATCAGATGATTGCGGAAGGTTTTCTTTGGGAGGGGAAAGACAAGTGTGCTAATAACGCTTACTTGATGGCAGTTTGGCCTCGGGTTCTGACTCCTCGTGCGTTCTCTTCCTCTCCCAGGGTGTCCTCTCCAACATCTCCTCCATCACTGACCTCGGTGGCTTTGACCCTGTGTGGCTCTTCCTCGTGGTGGGAGGAGTGATGTTCATCCTGGGGTTCGCAGGGTGCATTGGCGCACTCCGGGAAAACACCTTCCTGCTCAAGTTCGTGAGTATTGCCGACTCCACTCTCTGTTTGAGAGATGACACTCTTAACTCCAGGCGAGAGATGTTAAGCATACCAAAGGACTAGGAAAACAACACAAACAAAACAAAAAAATGACCCATTTCAAGAGGGCGCTCCAATCGTGTGTCATCCCTCCTCCCTGCCCCTGCCCTAGACAAGCCTCTTTGGCTGGCTAAGAACCGCCCAGCCTTGCCATGCATGGAGGCTTTGTGTATATATGCAACAGACTTGTCTCCAATCCCTGAAGTAGCCTTAGGAAGGAATGAGACGTGGGGGAGGGGTGTGCTATATATGTGAGCGCACACACATGTGGCTGGTGCAGGCAATGGTCTCGGGGAGTGAGGCTCAGGCCCAGCATCTGTAGCCTATCCAGCTTGTATAGCTTGGATGAACACGGCGATACAGTCAAGGTGGAAATCCTTTGTATGAGCAGCGCTTTTTCGCTGCTGTCCAGTGTGTGACTGTACCTGTAGAGGAAGGACCTTCGCAGGAGGGACGTAAGTATTTGGGGCAAAGGAGAGAATGAACGACGAAGACCTTCCCTCTCTTTGGAATTTCTCCAAGCAGAGCAATGGCCCATATAAAGCATATTTGTATCTTAAGTAAGAATGGCAAACGTGGCTACCTCTGTGAAACGGAACCACAGCTTCCTTATGTGCGATGCCCTCAAACGTAACTTCAGGTTGCTTTCTGCACTTTGGGAAATGAGGAGTTAGCCCCCAGGGTCCACCGCACCGCATGTCTGCTTCTGCCGAATATTTGGCATGGATTGAGTTTGGCTTCGTTGTGTGTGAGGGGGTTGGCTTTCTAGTGATTTCTGTAGGAAAAGTGTCCACTCTCCTCTCCAAAGAAAGAGGAAAGGTCAGAATGACCCATCTTCCTGTGATGAGGGGGGAGTCAGAAATTTCCAGAAAACAGCTTTGTGTTGTTACAGCCATTCGCACCCCTACTGACACATCTTCTAGGGTCATTTTACTTAAAACCAGAGCTTGCCCTGGAAGGACACAGCCACATAGCATGTCTGCTGGATTGATCTCTGGCATGTCTTCTTGAGTGTCTCTTAGAGGAGACTCTACATTCCAGTCCTAGGGTTGAATTGGGGTAGCTCCTGAGCCCTGAGAGTCTTGGAAGGTGTTTCCCTGAATCTTTTCATGTGGCTCACTCCAAGAGTCTCAGACATAGTTCATGAGGAGCTGGCTCCCTTTTCCGTGTGCCCGGCGCGAGTCACTTGTTTCCCATGGTTCTAGCTGCCTTATCTTCCAGATTGACCCTGTTCTACATGGGCACATACAGAGGCTTGGGAGACCCCCCCCCCACTCCCCGACCCCTGCAGCTCTTTTCACCGAGTCAAGGTCCTGTGGAGCCCCTCCAAGGGTTCATGACCTGCCAGTCTTCTTGGTATAGGCATCTCTGAGTGCTGACCTGGCTTTACTCAGCTTCCGTGGTGTGAGTCCTATATATGTCCATGTTTGCGGTGGTACAGTGTACAGGGAAGGGGGTTGTTTCATATGAAGAAGGCAGGGAGCACAAATATTCTTAATTTGAAGTTTTTGGTATCACTGATTTTAAGAACGTTGTTTTTTTTTTTTTTTCCCCAGTGAATTCACAGTGACAGCCTGGAAGGCTGAGGTGAACGGTCTGGAAGTGAAGCCTGTGTCTTGGCATGCTAGACTTTGTCAAGGCAGTGGCTTTGTCCTTCTGGCCCCCTCCCCTCACTCCCCCACAAAGACACACTTGTCCCTCCATGCATGAAGAGAATGGCCACACCCCACTGTCCACCCAACATGCCTCCGTCCTGTCCCCCCCCCATTTCACCTCAAGATCAGAGGGTAAAGATGCAGGAGGAGGGAGGCGTGTGGAAAGGAAGGGCTTGTGGGCGGAGTGGCAGTCAGGGTGACTAAGACGTGACTCTGAAGTATAGGCGGAAGGAAAATTTCCCCAGGGTTCTGAGCGGTTACCCCAGGGCCTCATGCTTTCTAACCTTATACCTTGTTATCAGCCTTAGCCAGAATTCTCCTTTTGATTGCATTGTGGTGTTATTTAAAGAGTTTCCAGGGGTTGCTGCTTGCCAGACTGGAGGTAAGAACAGCTAGTGTTCCCAAGAAAGCCCTTGAGCCACGGTTTCATTTTCCCTCAGAAATGGTTTTCATGTCAATCACACCGCCTCCTCCTTCCTCTCTGACCTCTTTAAGATGAATAGATCTATTTCTCCCTGTATGGGATGCCCAAGCAGGAATTAACACAGCGAATCCAGAAGGGCATAATTGTGTGCATATGGAATCAAGCCACAGTGGCAGATGACAGGCGATTGTAAAACATGGGGTAATCTACCTTTCAAGTTAGGAAAGACCCTTCCTAGAGGTCAGGCTGAACATTGCTCATGTGTCTGGCAGTACATTAATCACAGGCAATTCATTAGGCCTTAATGTGGGTCTAATGAGAAATTCCTATTACTCATGTTTGATTTGGGCTTTGTTGGTTAATTATCAAATGGAACCCCAGAGGCTCCAAAATGTGATTATGAAGTAATCTTTAATTTTTAGAAGTCCTTTTTTTGAAGTATAATATTCCATTAACAGACCTTAAGAAACAGAAGGCTCCAGTTTGGAGCTGTGTCCCAGCTGAACGTAGTTCCAGCCCTTTTCAGAGCGGGGCCCCTGCCTCCACATGACCTAGCTAACCCTTGTGACCATTCTCTGTTGTATGTTTCTTTCGTTTTAGTTTTCTGTGTTCCTGGGGATTATTTTCTTCCTGGAGCTCACTGCTGGGGTGTTGGCGTTTGTTTTCAAAGACTGGATCAAAGACCAGCTGTATTTCTTTATTAACAACAATATCAGGGCTTACAGAGATGACATTGATTTGCAGAACCTCATAGACTTCACCCAGGAATATGTAAGTTCAAACTTCCTGTCCTCTCCAGTGGAAACAGCTTCTCACAAGGGGGACTCCCATAATGCCTTGTGTGTCTGTCAGCTGGAGACGTCCAGCCAGCTGTGCCTAGCTTCCAGTTGTTTGTATGATTGTTTGCTTGATTGTTTCCCTAGCTCCACGGTTTACATTTGTATCCCAAACAGAAAATTTCTGCTTCCACTGGTTTCAGCTTGTGTCAAATTAGAGGAAGGAAGACATAACTTAAGCAAAAAGGTGATCACCATGGCTGCACCTGTGCCAGCCCTTGGAGAAAACGGCTTTTCTGTATTTTTAAAGCTCTGTTTGATTAAATATGAATTTTCCATGTTCCCCTACAGCTCACAATAATTAACAGGGCATTTGTTCATAAAGCTGCTCAACTTTGGGGCTGGACAGATGGCTCAGAGGTTAAGAGCCCAGACTCCTCCTCTTCTAGAGGTTGAGTTCAATTCCCAGCAACCACATGGTGGCTCACAACCATTTGTAATGAGATCTGGTGCCCTCTTCCGGCCTGCAGGCAGAACACTGTACACGAGTAAATAAATAAATCTTTTTTTTTTTTTTAATGCATATAGAGTATTTTTTATTTAATTTTATATAACAAAGTCCAATTAAATGAAAACAAACATTTATACACAATATTTGGGAATTTGGGCGTCGTTCTTTCCAAACTACTTCCTGCTGATAAGGGGCGCTGTAAATCTTTAGAAAAAAGAAAAAGCTGCTTAAATGTGCCGATCCTGCTACCACATGTGTACAGTCCAAAACAAAAGTTAGAGGCGTGTGAGCCTGCTGGCTTCTAACATGGACTAAGCCGCCCCCCCCCCATGTGACTGTGTGACCACTCCTTTTCTGCCAGCAGAACAGGCAGATGCCATGCCACTCAAAATGCAAAGTGGCACAGCAGGGAGCTGAGAGACACACAGTGTCATTGACTCGGAACTAACAGAAACTTGAACTCTTTCCCTGATAGTAAAAAGAGAGTGAAGATGAGCTATTGTCTAATTCCTGTGGATCCGGACACTCTAATGATGCTCGTGGTCTCATAATAGGCCCGAGATGCTCTTGGCCTGCAGATTAGCAGGCCCTCACACTCCTGCACCGGAAAAGTAGGAGTAAGCCAGGCAATCTTGGTTAGTGGTGGCCATTGCATTAATGTTTATAGTAAGATCGGGACCATGGAGAAGCTCAGTGCACCAAGGTCTTGCTTTGAGTTGGGAAGGTTGATCTGGAGAACATTTACCTAGAAGGCCATGCTGCATCAGCATTGTGTGGGTGTTGGAAGGCCACCCTTCTCAGGGTGCTCAGCACTTGTCTGCCTGGGGGGCTTGGGTTTCTCCTCAATGGCTGCAGAGCAGCTACAAGCTGCCCCCAGGTGTGAAATGAAGCCGTTTTTTTCACTGAAGCCCTTCCGGTGTTGCTAAGTTAGGTCCTAAGGGCTGTGAGCTCACAGCTTCTCAGCTAGTCTCCCTGAGTAGTGTGCAAGACAGAGCTGGGTGGGCTTTGCAGGGAAACCTGTGGTGCCCAAACCTTCAGACATGTGTTCATGCGTGTTCCTGACATGCTGCCTGCTCTGCTCGGCGACATTGATGTTTCATGTGATTCTGGTCTTCTGTTCTGGAGTTAAATGTTTTGATGTGGCTGTTGGTCCTGAAAGTCACATGGCCAAGGGTTGGTTTTATTTACCTTAAAAAGCCAGGATAAACCAGGACAGGGAAGTGGTAGATAGTTTGTATGACAGCCATGATCAGTCCCCTTTCAGAGCCACTGAATTGAACATCTTGGTCCTTTTGCTTTTTAATTATCTGAATGACTTTGTAAAGTTGAAAATATAAGAAATATGTTCTTAAAAAAAATCAGAATCTGGAGATTTGGCTCAGAGGTTTAGAGTATTGGGTGCTCTTCCAGAGGACCTAGGTTCAATTCCCAGCACACACATGGTAGCTCACTCCTGACTGTAATTCCAGTTCCGGGGCTTCTGGCACCTCACACAGACATACATGTGGGCAAAACACCAGTGAATAAAAATAATAAAAATTAAATTATTAAAAATAAAATGAAGTCAGCATACAAACAAAGATAATGAAAAAGTAATCTGACAAGATTGTACCGAAGTAGGTTTTGTTCACTCTTGTTTTTTGTTTGTTTTTTGTGGTTGTGGGGATTGGGTCCAGGGCCTCATCATGTTTGACCACTGTAGTCCTGACCATCAGCCCTGATGCTCACTGTCTTGTGAAGTGGTGACAGCTCTACAGTGTTACCCACATGTCAGAACTTACCAGAGTGTCTGTTGTTCATCTGATGCCACTTGCAGTCAGTGAAGCCATTTAAGAACCATTAAAATAAGATCAGTTCCTCAAGCACAGCCACAGTTGCCTCATTAGACGTTGCTGTTGTTGTGTTTTGTTTTCCCTTCTAGAATGTTCTAGAATGTTCTTCTAGAATGTGACCAAGCCAAATAGATCTCCAGCCCTGCTCTACCATGCACCACCCCTCCCCATCAAATGACCAGTGCCAACCCATCTGTAGACCCTTTAGCCTTAACTACTTTGCAAGGCTTTATCAGGCCATTTAGGTTAAATTCAACTTAAAATTTGAGGTGCTGGGCCTGGCAGGGGATGGGTGTCGTGTGGGTGGAGCCCAGGGGGCTGGTCACCTCCGAGCCCAGACGATCTTCTAACTCTCTCCTGTTTGCTCTAGTGGCAGTGCTGTGGGGCTTTTGGAGCTGATGATTGGAACCTAAATATTTACTTCAATTGCACAGATTCCAACGCAAGCCGAGAGCGATGCGGTGTGCCATTCTCCTGCTGCACTAAAGACCCTGCGGTAAGAGCGACAGGTCACTGCTGGCTGCTGTGCCCTGTGCTCAGTGTGGGTGTGTCGGGGTGATTTTGTCTTAAAACTCCCTCCACAAGCTCATGCCTGATTATAGCTCCTACATGGGGGTGCTGTGCCCCAGTCTTCCCAGACAAGACAGGATGGCTGGTATTGATTTCACGTGCATGTGTGTGCGCGCGTGCGTGCGTGCGTGAGTGATGGTTCCTGTTCTGAGCCTTGGTGTATGTTGGCTCATGGCAGGTCAGCCCTTACTCGGGTGAAAAGAAACCATGGCATGTGGAGTGCAAGTGACTTTTCCCAAAGCACAGTACTGACAGGTGACAGTTGGGTGCCAGACACAGGCAGCCTGCCGGTCTGTCCCTCCTTTATGAGAACGTGGGGCTCACAGTGATCCCTCTGCAGTAGCTTGGGCTTATCAAGCCTTTTACCCTCCTATGATTTCTGGGAAGGGAGATTGGAACATGACAAAGTAGGAATGCTGCTTAGGAGCCACAGAGGCCCAGAGGGCGGCATAAGGTTGGTGATAGTGGCTGCCACATGTGTTTTACTTTAAAAAGAAAACATATAACCCACTCACAAGCCACTCCTTTTTACTCCATGTTACACTGTGTGCATGGTTTGTAGAATGGAGAAAGAGAGAGAGAGAGAGAGAGAGAGAGAGAGAGAGAGAGAGAGAGAGAATGAATGAGAACCTTCTGGAACTTTCTGTATTGTAAGTGAAAAGCCAAAACTGAGGGTAGTGTGACCCCTGTGAGGAGCAGCTACTGCCCTTCTTGGACAGCCTGCCCTAGCCCACAGTGCAGCACAGCAGGTACAGACACTCCACAGGCTTCCCCTTGCTCGCGTTTTTTAGAGTCGGAAGGCAGATCAACCTGGGCTGAGCATCACTAAGAACCAGGCCACCCACCTGTGATCCTGCTCCAGCCATCTGGTCTTCCTCCTCTGAGGCAGGGTCAGGTGTCAGGAGGATGAGCAGCTTGGAGTCTGTGGTACCCACTCAGGCAGCGGGACACACACTGCCAGCATGCTCTATCTCTGTCCTACATCAGCTGTCCCAGAGAAAAATCAGAAGTCTCCAGGAGTCACTAGGCAACTTCATTAGGTCTGTCTTCTGCCATGAACTCTGAGCTGATGAGATCCATCTCTGACCCCCAGAGGGGAGGACGAAGCAGCTAGCCTGCGTATTTCCAGCCAGATCCTGGAGATGTTTGACACGTGGCCAGGCAGCGTTTTGCTTTGTAATTAGTAACATAATGCTTTTCCATTAAAATAGAAAAATTTTAAGTGACCGAATTTTATGGATTGAAAGGGACAAGCATGCGTAAGACCCTAGATCTACTGTCTAGCACATTTTTTAAAGTAGAAATTGCCAAAGAGCATGAAGATGGCCATTTTGTCCTTTACGGTTGATTCTTGCCTATGTGTCCACTGCCCCAACCCCAGGAGCTCTCTGAGGTCGGCAGTGCTTTGAATCTTGGTCGTTCTCCTACCCCCAGCATAATGCACCTGCTAGAGTCTCAGTTTTCCTCATTTCTAAGGTGGAGAATTTTTTACTACATACTTCTGAAACTGCTCTCCTAAGCGCATGGCATTTAATGCGCATGGCGTGTTGAACCCAATGCCCTCATCGGGTTTCACCACTGGACACCGCAGGGGCTCCTGTTCATTATCAGATGGGCTTTCTGTTGAACAAGAATGAGTTCCCCTTTTCTCTTCCTTTCTTCCCCAGGAAGATGTCATCAACACTCAGTGCGGCTATGATGCCAGGCAAAAACCAGTAAGTGGAACCTGCCCTTGCGGCTTCACACGCGGTGTGTTTGGAGGAACGTTTGTGCGTGCACAGGGTTCTATCTGTGACACTCTGCTCTCTTCCCTTGTAAAGGAAGTTGACCAACAGATTGTAATCTACACAAAAGGCTGTGTGCCCCAGTTTGAGAAGTGGCTACAGGATAATTTAACCATCGTGGCTGGTATTTTCATAGGCATTGCATTGCTGCAGGTAAGATGGGGGTCCTTGGTGGTATAGCTCAGACACACCTCACCCGGACAGGGTCTCTGCTTAGTGTCATGTCCTCTGAGACACACTGGAGGTCCTGGGGACAGACTGGAGCTATTAGGTTTGGTTTATTGAAGGAGGTCGGGGTCAAGATCAGGAAACATGCTACGAGGCTTTCTTTTCACCATCAGGAGGTTGATAAGGGTCGCTGGCATCCATCACTTGTTTCCGTGGGCTTAGAGGACTGTGTTGTGACAGCTGGGATAGACGTGCCTGCTCATAGTGGCTCTTAGGAGCAAGGTTAAGGCTCTGTGGAGTTGCAGAAGTATGGCTGTGTCTTCTGTCTCTCTGGACCAGCTTCTCAGAGAGCCACAGAGTGGAAGGAAATTAAAAAAGTCTTGAGTAAGCAGGCACCCTGCGTTCACGGCTTATAAAGCTCAGTATTATTCAAGTGGCATCATTACCTAATGATGATCTCAAGATTCTGTGTAGTCCATATCTCAGGTCCAACCTCCTCATTCACAGTCATGGACAAGCTGGACCAGAAATCACATGAAGAGACAAGAAACCAGAATAGCCCAACAACTTTGCAAAAGAACAGAAGATGAAGGTTGCATGTTTTCTAATGAAAACTTATGACAAAGTAGCAAGATTTAAGATAGTCTGTTCTTGTAGATTCGCCATTATAGGCAAATAGGGTTAAAGTCCAGACACATCTGTGAGCTTTGCCTTGATAAGGGAATTGAAACTAATGGGGATGGAGAAATGGCTCAGTGGTTAAGAGTACTGGATGCTCTTCCAGAGGACCAGGGTTCAATTCCCTGCCCCCACCATGATAGCTAACAGTGGTTTCACTATAGTTCTAAGGGATCTGATGCTCTTTTCTAGCCTCCATACACACTGTATAAATGTGGTATATAGGCATGCATGCAAGCAAGACACCTATACAAGTTAAAACAATTTTTTTTTTTCACTAAATGGGGCAGGAGGGCTGATCTTGTATCTGGAAAACACTTATTTTTTTTTTTTTTTTTAAGATAGCTATCTCATATCCTACTTAAACATTCACTTAAAATAGATCAAAGACTCAAATATAAGTATGGTCTACTTCAAGTCTATAATGTAAGTTATTTTTAAAAAGATTGAAGCAGGATGTTCCCTTAAGACCACACCACCAGCCTGGCCTTCTTAGTCAGACCCTGGTGTAAAAAAAACAAATGAACAAAACTCTCCATATAGAGCCAAAGCTGTGAAACTCTAGAAGAAAACAAGGTGTAAATTGGTTATTTTTTCCCCTGGACAGTTACCTTATAAGAACAATGACGGCAAAAGTATAACCACCAAGTAAAGCACAGATAATGGGACTTCATCAAAATACGACACTTCTACAGAAAATGATGCCATTTGCAGTTACTCACAAAATAGCAGAAAATATTTGCAAGTCCTTACTTGAAAGGAATCTTAATATCTAAAATATATAAAGGGGGCTTATACCAACCATCAAGAGAAAAAGGCCAGCCTGAACTACCTAGCAGTTTAAAATTGGAGTATTTCAGGAGCCATTTCTGCAGCACAGATAGAACTGGCCTGTTGCATACGAAAAGAGGTCAACAGCATTTGCCATTAGAAAACTTCGAATCTAAACTATAGTGAGAAAGCCGTTGCACACCCACTAGGGTGCCTATAAAGAAGGGATGGATAGTGAGTGTTCATGAGACTGTAAGACGGAGCACGCCTCACACATTTCTGGAGGCGGAACAGAGGTGGCTCAGCTCTTTGGAAAATAGAGATAGAGTTACTGTGCGATCCTACAATTTTCCCCAAGTGCAAGCAGAAGGGATGGAAAGTTACAAAAACACTTGCACACGCACGTTCATAGCAGCAAGCACGGGAAACGGAGGAATTCATCAGTGGGATTTAAAGATTCGGTGTGTCCTTACACTGGGGTAGTACTCAGCCATCAAAAGGGAATGGACTGAATAGGATTGGTGAAGCACGCCTGCTAGCTTGGCTCCAGAGAGACAGAAGGGCAGCAACTTAGACTGTACAGGACAACCCTGTCTCAAGAGCAGAGCAAAACAAAACAAATAGAACAGCTGGCTGGGCGATTTCCTTGCCAGAGTCACCAGTTTCTTTGTGCAGATGCTTTTGTATAGAAGCCAGCACTTGTCATTCCCCTACTCGCGCTCGCTCGCTCGCTCTCTCTCTCTCTCTCGCTCTCTCTCTCTCGTCCCAGTTAGCCACCCCCCACATCTTCTCGGTGCCCTGGGAGTACCCCGGGGTCTCACCATCCCCATCTCTAGGTCTCCTCAGCCCACCTCTGCCCCTGCCTCAGAACTGTCACCCACCCAGTCAGCCCAGAGCTCTGGCTCCTGTGTTTCCCGCCTCCACCGTGCCCTCATTGGTGGGGAGAGAGGAGGAAGCTGAGGAGCCCATGACACTTGCAGATCCAGGAGAGTGGTGGAGTCTTGGGAACGTCACAAACCTGACCTCAGCAGGGAGAGCTGGGCAGGTGCATGGGTCAGACGGGCTAATCATCAACAAAAGTGTTCCCTTTGTGTGTGACGTCGGTTTATTGCCTGAAAGAGCAGGTGAAATCCACGGAGGGGTTGGGTGGCCTGGGGACCCAGCTGAGCTTCAGACGGACTTTCCCCACACACACGTGTGACCTCCCCGGTCACGAAGGCAGGGCGAGCATGTCGAGGTTACCTCAGCTTTCTGTACATTGTGTCAAAACGTTCACTTAAGGTCTTTAATTTGTGTCAATTCAGAAAATGGATCGTGTAGTTTTACAACACCGTGATCAATCCCTTACAGAACAGGAAACAAGTTGTCATGGTCTCATGGTTGAGAGGCCAGAGTCCAGCATGTCCGGGAAGGCATAGAGGCCAAACAGCTCAGAGGGAGAGAACACCTTTGCCACTGTCCCTAGTAGCCCACTTCCATTTGCTAAGCTGTAGTCTCCGATGCCCTAGTACCTCCCAGAACAGTGCCTCTAGCTGGGGACTAACTGTTCAAACCCGTAAGATTGTACCGACTTCACATTCAAACCGGACCAGTGGGTGAACCTAGAGAACATTTTGCTGCATGAAAAAAAGCCACGGGCACCAACCACATCCTTAATATCTGATGCCATTTTCATGCAAAGTCCAGAACAGGCAGAGCCGTAGAGAGAGAAGACAGATGGGAGGGAGCTATAGGGTGACAGGGAGGCTTGGGAATGACGCCTCTTGGTACAGGGTTAGCTTGAGGGCGATGAACATCTTCTGCATGTAGTGCTGAAGGGCTAACGTCATCCTAAAATTACGGATTTTATAGAATATTAATTGCCCGACAGGTTTTATTTTCTCTCTTCCACACTCTCTTTTTCAGCATTTGCTTTTGAGTCAAGTCTTGTGTATCCCAGGCTGGCCTCAAACCTGCTATGGCGCTGAGGGTGGCTTCTGATGTGCCCGCCTCTGCCTTCTCCGGTGCTGGGGTTACAGATGTCTACAACCGTGCCTGGTTTCGGGTGGAGCTGGGGGTAGAGTGCAGTTTTATGTACTCTAGGCAAGCCCTCTACTGACAGAGCTACATATCCATCCCCTGGGTACCAATTTCAGAATGAGATTCCCAAAAAGGGAGGGGGCAGGCCAGCGGCCAACAGCTTTTGAATTCTACTGTCTCACTTGGCTTTCTTTCCCCCTTTAGATTTTTGGTATTTGCCTGGCCCAGAATTTGGTGAGTGACATTGAAGCTGTCAGGGCTAGCTGGTAGAACCCGGTGGCCACTGCTGCAAGACACTGGACTGACCCCCCTTGCTGACCCTCCTGTGCTGGCTGATGGCGGACTGCAGGGACCCGGTCACAGGCCTGGTGCCCCGCCTCACAGAGCTGCCGAGAACTTACTTTCTGTGGGGGTAAAGCTGGGAAATGCTGCTCACAGTTGGAACTTGTAAAAAGAAAAACAGAAGAGTGTGAATAAAAGCCCTCGCTGTGGCTGTGCCATGACTCTACTGTAGCCATGAATCGATGATGGACGGATGCTACTAGCAAGGGAAAGGGGGTGGGATGGGCATTGCATGCACTTGAATTTGTGGAGAAGACAGCGCTGTCCACATTTTGGCTAAAAAACAACTTAGGCCCTCATCCCTCCCCCACCCCCCACCCGGGGCCAAGTGTTTTGAAATCTCTCAGTGCACATTTCCAGAAACCGTGGGGACTGCCCCCTGGAGAAGAAAACAGCTGTGCCCCGTGTTCAGATTTTGAGATGGGTGGAAGGGGTCATGTCCAGGATACACACCCTGGCGAGTCCCATAAAAAAGCCAGGTGTTTGGGTGGAGCAGGGGAGGGCAGCAGAGACTGTGGTCCGAGTTTCTGTAGGACCAATCTTTCCTCTGAGCAGCCAGCCTGAGCTTTACCAATGATATCCAAGGAGAAATGAGGTTAACGAGAGGCACCGATTACACACCCCCTCACCCCACCTCACCAAACCAGTGCCTGGGTTCTTCCGATACCCTGGAATACTCTGGGCTGCGTTTCTGTGTTTTCTTTCTTTCTTTATCTTTTTTTAATTGGTTGTTATTTTGTTTCTTTTTTTGTCTCCCAAAGGCAAAGGCTATGATACAGTCCTGCGTAATGTTTTCTTATTCAGCTTAATAGTGAGTTTGTGTAGGACCCTCGCTTGCATGCGCTGTGACCCCGAGTCCGCTATGTTTTTTTCCGTGAGACACGAGAGCATTTGGTTGATGATGTCCTAGGTCCCAGCCTCGGGTGGTTGTGGCATGTTGTCCAGGTCATGTCTTCAGATGCCCCACAGGCTGGCTCACTGTCTCTCCCAGCATCCAGCTCAGCTTTTTAAATTCCCTGTCTTCCTCCCTGAATGATATAAAGCCCCGTTCCAAAGCAGGGCTGACGCAGCCAACAGGCATTTAACAATGTTTTCTTCTTGCAATTCTAGTTTTGTCATATATTTAAAAAAAAAAAAAAAAAAAAAGTAAAAACAAAGCAAACCTAGCTTAGTGCATGGCCAGAGTTCTGCTCCTCACGAGGTGGCCTCGGGGCAGTAACAAAGCACAAATACTGAGGGTCTGCACTGAGGCCCAGCCAGGGTTCTGTGACGCTAGGTGGGAAGCCGCCTTCAGGTCCTTCTTCTGCCTCGTGCCCACTGGGAGGGTGGATTTTGGCCCCAGCTTTTCACCCAGCTAATGATGTCCCCTGGGTGTTGCTAGCATGGGGACAGGTTTTAGACCGTGGGTTTCTGGGAAGACTACGGCCTCCGTGATAGCAGTTCAGCGCTCGCCAGCTAGCTTTCTGAGCACAGGGTTAGCACGGCTTTCTATTTCCACAACGTGCACCGCCGTGCATTGCTGGCGGACAGTTGGCTCAGAGGGCAGGCGCTCTTTTAAAGTTCCATCTCCGCAGTTTGGGTGTGTGTGGCTCTGCATGTATGTATTTGTGTCTGTTGTAGGTAGAGATAGTCATCCCATATGTGGACATGAGGTCACGAGACTTCGCCTCTGTCCATCCGTCGTTTGTGATGTCCTGCAACACGGATACTTGTGCTCTGGATCGGCACTTCTGTCTTCTTTATTACCTCATTCTCCAGTGAGCTGCCTCAGGCAGTGATTCAGAATCAGGCAAGGCCCCCCACCCTGTGGCACACCCAGTGGAAGCCAACCACAAGCCCAAGTGAGTTTTCAATTTTAATCACCCTTTATTTTTTACACTCGAGAGTGATTGTAATAAAAGCTGTCGTTAATAAACTTGGTTCTACCATACCTGGGATGATGTCGTCTTTGCTCATTGCTTCTCGGATGCTATTGTAAAACATCCTGGAGTGGCTGGTTGAAACACAAAAGGCCTGGGTCAGGAAGATGGCTCATTTGTAGTGTGTGCCTGAAACTTTGGGGTCAGTTCCCTGCCCCAACAACTACCACCATTCCCAGAATGCCTCGGGAGGCAGGTCGGAATGGGGCTCACGGAACTACTGAGTTGCAAAGATGCTGAGGAAATCACAGGTAACACATCACTCCTGGGAGAGAGTGGAAGTGTGGTTGACGGGGCCGAGTGTATTTGGATTGCTAAATATAGACAGACAGACAGACAGACAGAACACCCTGTCAGTAGGCGTTCTCTGCCCCATAGTTGTCCTCTACTTGTTACAGACACCTTGGGAACCTTGGAAAACACATTCCTGACCTTGACCCTGCCACTCTGGGCTGTGTATCTTTTTTTTTTTTTTTTAAGATTTATGAATATTTCATAGACAGTGGACCTAGATAAAATTTATAGTTTTTTTTTTTTTTTTTTTAATAAGAAAGTAATTGCCAGTAGTCCCTTGAAATTGTCATCTTAACTCATGGGAAAGCACCAGCTTACATGTCTTTCTATTGTGAATTATTACTGAAAAACACTTTTAAGAACAAATGGAAACAAAACCTCCCATTTCGTGTAGTACCACTCTAAGAGCGGACAGAACAATGTGTTCCAAGACGTGAGAAGTGTGCCTCATTCCCCTGGATATAGAAAACAAAAGGACTTTGGTTTGGAGGAAATTTGTCCATGACTGAAGATGGGCAAGCCCTACGATGTCCCTAATCATCTGATGTTGTGGGGTCTGGCCATTCTCTCCATGCTCTGCCAGCAGGGAAAGATTAGAGCTACAAAAAATGCCTTGTTGACAAGGCCCGAAACTAGCAGAAGTTTCTTCCTTGTTCTGAGTAGATCCTAGACTTCAGGGGAAGGTCACCAAATTTCTATTGTTTACTGGTTCTCACAAAGGTTGCTTCTGTAATATAAAAAATGTCCTATTCATAAAAAGAACAGTAAAAAAAAAAAAAAAAAAAAACAATGCATCGGAGACTACTGGAACTCCCATTTCTTTTCCCAGAGTCTAACCCCTTGGCATTTCTTTGGGCTCCCTTCCTACCCCAGGTCCCAGGCTACTCCCCTCCAGGAGACTCTTAGAAGGGACCCTGTCCAAGTTTTTTGCCTCTTTGGGAAAGCATTTGGTCCCAGGGGCTGGTGTTTGTGTGGGCAGGAATGGGATCAATGCAGGGCCTGTTTCCGGCTCTCTTGGAGAGGAGCCCTGGGAAGTGGGTGGGCTAAACAATGAGGGCCAGAGCCCTGTGACCCGGCAGACCTTCCCCAGAACGCTGTGCCGCTTATACATCAGCGCTCTCCTTCCCTAGGGAAATGTGTGCAGACCTCCAAGGCAGGCCTGGGAATCTGTCCATAAACACTGGCCACTGAGGCCAGCACGGGGCATGGGGGCGGGGCGGGACAGTGACCGTGAGACACTGCCACACTCAACAGGTGGGAACCATGTGTACAGCAAGAACAGACAGAGCCGAGTTATGGCTTTTAGTGTAGACATGATGAGGGGCACAGTTCCTGGGTTTGGGCACAGGAGGTAGGGAAGAAACTAAACTCTGGAGGTACCAAAGCCACCTTAAGTTTACCCTCGACAGTTGTTTGTTTGAGAGATTTGCTATAAAGGCAGAGTCTTTATGCTGTAATTTTTAGGAGATTCTTGATTTGAGGAATTACTTGCGGCTTCCCTCCGGAGGCTTGCGGCTCCCTTGTAAACTTGCTGGGAAAGTCGATCTGTCCTCTCCCTGTTAGCCTGAGCTAGATCCCCGGTCAGTCTTACACCTCCACTTCAAGGAACGAGCGCTAAAGGGGACAGAAGAGCAGGTGAACTCGTGGCTTTACGCGGTGGGTACGCATTCGGGAAAGAACCAGTGCCCAGCAATACAAGCCGCATGTGGTATCGCCCCGGTGGTTGTCACCTCCCTGAACCTGCGCGCTGAAAAGTTTTAGTGGCCTGCCCTCTAGTGTCGGCCGAGGGGAACCACAGCTGGCTGGAGCTGGAGAGGGCGGTACGAGGCGGATGGCAGGTGTTTAGAGAAGGCAGGGGCACTCCTTCATCCTCCTGGGACCCGGGGCGGGGCTCACTCTGGGAACCTAGGGAGCAGAGAATTTTGTTCTCATCAATATCTGTACATGATCTTTTATTACCTTGCAGCAGGGTTGTGCCTGTTGGAAGCTGGCCCAGCGTTCTGTGCAGTCTCAGATGAAGTTTCTAGAAGCCAGTGTTCACTGGTGTTTATCTGATGCTATGCCTTCCAGGCACTTGTCTTCCTGGTGGAAGGTGACAAAGCTGCATTCTCTCTCCCGGGCTCAGAACTCCCCCCCCCCAACTTAAGAGGTTGGTGTCCTAGGTCCTAATCTACGCCTCAGTTCTTCAACACAAACTACCCAGAACAAAGAAGCAGCCTTTGCTGGACTTTATGAGCATGACCGTGGGGCTAATGGAGTTGGCTTTGTTTCGAGAACTTCTAGCTTTTCACTTTGTGTCTTGGTTTAAGAAGGTCTTAATAGTACCCTCAACCAGCCTGATACGTCCTGTTCTGTGTCTCAGTCTGCCTTCAGACTTGCAGCGATCTCCCTGCATCAACCTTCCGAAAGTATGATGCAGCTTGATTTTAGAGAATGAGGAAACCATGCTTATATGGCTACAAGCTTAATTTTAGAGAATGTGGAAACCATGCTTACATGCTAGGAGTTTATCACGGATTAAACTGCATCTTTCAATATTTCATACCTAAGCAGGAACTCAGACACTGGCCCATGAGGGAATACCGGAAGGAAGGCAGATTCAGGTAGTATGTCCATGATCTGAGGAGCATCAAACTTGACAGCAGCTACCAGAAATTGGGACCATATGGTTCTAGCCACTGGAGCTTTGAGGGAACAAATGGCCTGTTGAAGACATCCCATTGGTGCATTATTTTTTTTTTTCATTGCCCGTCGCTTTTGGGCTTGAAGGCGCCTGCTGCAAGCTAGATGCAGCGGGAGTGCCCTGTTATTCTCATCTGTCGAGTGGACACTGTGGTGCCTGCACAATATCCGTCTGCTCTATGCGCCTGTAAAGTCTTGTGCTTTCTGGGTTTGTTAGGATAGGGTCTCAGTATGTGCCTGGGGCTAGCCTTAGGCTTGCTGTGTTAATTTGGTCTGCTTGGAACTCATTCCTCCTGCTACGGCCTCCCAAGTACTGGAATTCCTGCTATGCACCGCTATGCCACCTTTTATGGGGTACTTTAAAGACTGCGTTATTATATTTAAGGTTATGGTGGTGCATTTCTTATTTATCTGAAGCAAAATCTCTTAAATGCCACCGGCTACCATGATTAAAAGCACATAAATAAAATATAAATCAAATGATCTGTGCCTTTTGTAGTCCCTCATGCTGTCACTGACTCTCTTGCAAGCAGCTGCTGGGGTGAACCACTCATCTATCTGTCCCTTGAACCAACAGCACTCAGTTGTGCAGTCGTGAAAATATATTCTACTCCAGGCACTGCCACAACTCTCAGGTAAGTTTTAGAGGTAGAAACCAGAGTGGAATCTCCATAGACTAGCGTCTAGACTTGTTCAGAGCTAACCTGCTATCTTTCCAGGGAAGAATAGACTAAAGATTCAAGAGGGTAGAGGTAGAAGTGATATGTCCTGGGCTGCAGGGATGCTGAATCATTGCAGACCTATGATTTCCAGGCTCTGGGGTGGACCATGGGGGATTTGTGGGGCACTTAGCAAAGGAAAGTTACTTTCCTTTGGAACCAGTGGACTGCTGGTGGTGATTTGATTTGCAGTAAAGATAGCCTGGAAAGTAGTTTTCCATACAACATGGCAGTGAGGGAACAAACTCACTGTATCACTGGAATGTTTTAAAAAACAGTTCCAAAAAACTGCATCCATCACAGCATTATTGGCAAAAAGAGTAAGTCTCAACATCATCCCACTCAAGTCATCACCAAGCTACTCAATACACCTGCAATTAACTGGGCTCCTGGCTCTGCCGGGCAGGGGGCAAGCTCTCTCTAGTCTTGGAGGAGATGAGGGAAGCCAGCTGCTATGGTTGGAGGACTATATCCTTGACATTTTTCGGTATTAAAAGTGATTCCAGGCTTGATCCATGGCTCAGTGGCTAAGAGCTCTTACTGGTCTTGCAGAAAGCCGGGGTTCAATTCAGAGCATAGTAGGTCAGGGTTCAATTCAGAGCATAGTAGGTCACAACCATCTGTAGCTATAACTCCAGTTCCAGGGAATGTGGCCCCTTCTGATCTCTGCAGACACCAGACACACTAGGCACACAAGACACATCCATACACGATGCACACGTAGGCAAAATATTCATAAAACAGAGCAAAGAAAGGTATCTCTAGTGAAACAGTAGGAGGGGGCGGAGCTTCAGGTGATTGGTGCACGAGGACGCCACGTCTTAACTGGGCTGAGTACCTTAATGAAGGAGGCCTGGGTGTGTGTGTGCCTCCCTTCCTCGAGTGCAGAGGCCTAGAATGCACTGTGAGAATTGGGTCTATACCAAATACACGGAAACTTCAAAACTTGGTTGCTCTGACCTTGGGACACAGCTGCCTCCAGAACTGTAAGTAATTCTCTTTTCTTGTCTGTAAAATGCCTGGCCTATAGCACTTATTTTTGTAGTGTGAGTGAACCAAACTAATGTTCGCCACTCACTTCCTCTGGCCTGCTGAGATTTCTGCGACCCAGGAACTGGGTTAGCACATGTTGTGGGTGCCGGGGACACAAGCTTCTAAGAGGTGGTTATCGGAGGTTTCAATTTTATCTTTTTTCAGGGTTGAAACCAAAATCCTAAAGTATCATTTTCTGGACGTGTGGTAGAGCCAGCTGGAAGCATTAACGTCTCAGCAGCCTGCCCAGGCATCGTCTCTCTGCGCGCCCAGGTGTAGGCAAT